GGGGGTGAGAGGAAAGTGAAATGATTCCATAACATCTGGTATTTCTTCTTCCCGTCAGATACCAATTTTACATTTGGGGGAGACCAAGATACCATGTAATTGTCATGATGCCACGATACCTCAAGATACCCGTAACCCCAAAACCCTGGTCAGGCCTAATTATGATGTTCCAAGGGTGTGGCATACAAATTTAAAGTTCGGTAATCTTGCTTGATGGTACAGAAAATTTAAGGTGTTCTATTACAGTAAAAGAAAATTTTGACCTTAAAATACGCACATCAATTAAAATAGCGTATGGAGATATATCCAGCAAATTATATATAGATCAATAAAGCAACACTTCTATTAATCACGTGGTTTTATTTTTCGCAACACAACCAATCACAAGTCAATATTTAAAGACCACGTTTTAAAGAGCGGGAATTGCAACATATGTGAAGTCTAGCAACGTGCTTTAAAAATTTTACATATTTTTTCCAAGTTTAAAAGATGTTTCTTTGAAATAAAGGAAAGATAAATAACGAAGGAAGTTAAAGACAGCGAAAGCTTGAATATTAGAGATGTAAGTAATCAAAAATTGTTGTTTGTTGGCCGAAATTAAAACTCTTGAAAGGTCTATTGCCTCTGACTATTTATAAACGGCCCGAGTTGTATACCATAAAGTTTTAAAGTTGAGAACAATATTTTAAGCTTCTTTTTATTCGTATTACCTGTTTAGTGTTATATTTCTGACCTGGGATAGTCTAATTCATCAACTACAATTGTTTTGGGTAGATAAAACGGGATTTGTTAAACAATGAAGCAGTCTAAATTAGTAATATTTTGCGTTTAATAAAATGGCGACATATGGAAAGTAAATGATAAATTGTCCAAATTGCCAGACATAATGAAGATAGAAGTCACCAGTGAAATTTTTAGGGGAAATTTGGAAGTAACATGGGTTGCCTTTTTATAAGCAACATTTCTTGTTTTGAAAGACTCATGAGCGACTGGCTAGCTAAATTGGTCACATGCCCACAGCCTGTAGCATCATCTTGGCACTGGGCAAGCTTGCCAAACAGCTGTAGTTGTAGTCCTTTTATTTAAAGAGAGTCTGTGTCTCCCAAAAAATGCCAGTATTTGACCATTCATGCCATTGTGATACTCTGAATGGTTCTATAATTTACGAAAGTCACCGAACTGTGGAATCGCATCAAAAATTTGTATATCGACCATTCCCATAAATGTCTACGACCGCACCTACATAGTTTTGCATGTTTACAATTCTAATTTTGAACAGCCAATCAGGTTCTTGGTAATTGGCTGTTTAAAATTAGAATTGTAAACATGCAAAACTATGTAGGCGCGGTCGTAGACGTTTGTGGGAGTGGTCGATATACGAATTTTTGATGCGATTCCACAGTTCGGTGACTTTCGTAATAAATTTGTAAACTAGAATTTGGCAACTGTAGATGGCCCTGGCTATTTTGCTGCAACCCCCACCCCCCTAATTAACACATTTTAACCTTATGCATTGAAGCTGTTGACTGCTGGTTTGCTATGAAAAATTATACTTCTATTGCAACTAATTAGTATAGGTAATCACACAGGAAGGAGTGCAATTAATGATTAACACTACAAGTGATTTTTGAAAAATATGCCAATTAAGCGGGGCAAGCTGAACGTTGTCAGCTGAATATCCAAAACTCATTTTGTCCTGTTTTCAATGTTTGAATATTACTATCCAAATTTTAAATATCAAACCCCAAACTCTACCCCCACTAACCCCACCCTAAACCTAACACTAACCCCACCCTAACCAAATCACAATGGCTATAACAAGGGGCGCTTTCCATTAACATGGCCAGACCGGTCAAATTGTTGAATGGAACACAAAATGGTTGGGCTTCTGACCTGTCTGACTGGAAAATTTAGATAAAATTAGAATTTTGCTGGCTAGATATTCACATTGGTTAAAGTTGGCAAAATCCTTGAGGGATATTGTGCTATTTGAGAGACATAGACCAGATCTTATGAGACACATAGACCAGATCTTTCCATTGACATTGAGACAAAACTTTGGGTCTGGCCTGACCAGCCATTAAATGGAAAATGCCCCCAGTAGCCACATCTAATTACACCTTCCTATTCTATAGTTATGCCAATTGCCAAACTTCCTCCAAAATCCTCAAAAATAAAAAATCCTACAGGTGTTTGGCAATCCCAAAAACATGATCACTTTTTGGAATGGATTGGTACACCCTCATATAAGTTCTCTCATTCACAAGTGTGTGGGAATGTGAAAGTTCTATTTTTGGCCCACAAGCCCTAATTCCTAATATTTGTGGCTTGCAAGCCCATGATTTGTCCATTCCCAGATATAAAAATAGTTCTTACTGCATCATTTAAAGTCATCACATAAAATTAAGTATTGTCCTTGAACCACTTAGTGACAAAAACAACAGGAAACAGTAATTATTATTTAATAGCATTGGGTTATAAAGGGCAAGGCAGCTTAACTGAAAAAGGATCAAAACCAATCTCATTAAAAAATTAAAAACACAGTCATTACTAAATTTGGAGTTTGCATTAATTATCTTTTGTTCAGACGAACCTGTGTTCAGATCCAACTTCTGCTTATACGCTTTTGTTTGCGCTTACTGACGTTGTTATCATGTCACATGCACTTAACTATAATCTATATCTCTTTTTGCTGTATTGTTTTATTTGCTTTTACTTGCTGTGGAGTGTGGACTTCCTCTATATTGCTTGTTGAAAGCCAAGATTTACATATCTACTCCAAAGGCTATGACAGTCTTAACTTAAAATACAGATTACAGGCATTATGCCTGAAAGTTTTATAGTCCTGATAATGATTTGTATGGACAAAAAATACAAGACAGATTGTCAGATTTGGATTAAGAGAGTTACAACAGTCAACTACTGTCTGTATACCTAAAAGAATACAAGTCTTCGTCCTTCGACGTTTCAAGCCGAAGCAGAAGGCGAAGGTCCTTCGTTAGTAGCGAGCGAGCTTAAGCATGTAGGACGGCAACACGACGACGACGGCCAAAACAAATTCCTTCAAATAAATGATAGTAAAGAAAACTTGTCGTATATTATAATTCGTATGAATTTAATAATACAGTATAAGAAGTTGAAAACATTGGCTTTATGTTTGGGAAGAGTTCTACTGAACACTAGAATTTTAAATTGTACTTGCTACGGCTTGAAATGCAGGCGTTGTATAAAAGACGTGAAAATCTGTGATTTGCCGTTGTAAACAGAGCGACGACTACGTCTGAAACTCCTCTGGGACTTTAATTATTTATTTCTTTTCATTGACTCATTAGGGCCATTTATACGGAACAAAATAAGTCGCGACTTACATAAGACGCGACTTAAATAAGCGGAGTTATCGCATAAATGGTTCTCTACGGCTTTGGTCTTATTTATTTGCTATAGCTATAATGTTGTTTTGGTTGTTTTTGTTTTAATATGCAAGGCTAATAATTTTACGTTGTTTCAAGTTTCTGGCATGTGTATAGTCAGGCTTTTTGCCCAAAATTTCTTATTTAAGACGCGACTTAAATAAGAACAGCTAAAAGACCTGTTCTTATGTAAGACGCGTCTTATCCAAGACGCGTCTTACATAAGAATTTTGTACCTTTTATACTACAAACTCGCGTCTTACTTAAGTCGCGTCTTATGTAAGTCGCGTCTTATTTTGTTCCGTATAAATGGCCCTAATGTAAATATACTTGTTTGCTTAGCTATTTCTCATTGAAAGGCTTGCCATGACCTTTGTATTAGAACTGACTGTAAATTGCTTGGAAATAAATCGTAACCGGTTTGAAGCTTGCTTTATCAGGCGGCTCCGGAAATCCGCAAATAATTGTTTTCTTATCTCCACAAATTGATTACTTGTTTAACTCAAGTATGTTATAAACACTGAAATGTATTGTCTGACCAATATGATATGATGGCATTTACTTTCTCTTTTCTTCCGTCTGCTTCCTTTGTTTGTTCATAAAATATTTGGTTCATTCAACTTACAGCAGGCCATGCAACACCGGTAAAAAATTTAGCAAAAATTTAGCAAGTATTTCTAACAAATTCAAAAGAGATTCAACGAACGGTCTCTTCAAATATTTTGTCATTTATTTAATTTTGGGCAACAAGAATTAATTAGATCGAAATAGTATTTGTATGAATGAAAACTAATAAAGGAAGGTAAAATACCAAAATGTCCCAAGTGTGCCTTTATATACCACAAGCATAGTCATAGATATAATATACAGTATTCCAGGCGACCCTACTATGGGTCATCTTTTGTCGACGAATTACTCGTTAGGACAACACTCTACCAAGTCTGAATGGTATAACAAAATTATTTGCCCATGCATGTTTCCTACCCATACATTATTAGGACGGAACGCGCCCTAATGCGCCATTTGGTATTATTTTACTCTGTAAATGTCAGGCGGTGTCACAGCGGATTTGGACCTCCCAGTAGATTTGGACCCCCCGGTCCAAATCTCCTAGCAGATATGGACCCCCTTTAGCGGATATGGACCCCCTTTTTTAAACAGTTTTATACACTAAAAACAACCCCAATAAAGGTGAATATGTTAAATTCATTAGTTTTCAGATACCCGGACCTACTTATCAACCACACAACGTTGGTCTAATATGCTATTTCTTCGCTAATGCAAAGACTCACAAACATCACTTATTGTTTAAAAATATTCATGAATGGCGTTGCTATTTCTATGCTATTTCTATGGTTTTTCGGTTAAAAATTATTAGTGGATGGTCGCAGGCTTCCATTTAGATGAGTCACCACCACTTTGATTGTTCAAAAACATTCATGAAAATCGTGTTTCGTGTCGACCCAAATAAATGGCATATTTCTATCGCTTTTGTTAAACAGTGATTCCCGTTATTGGTAAAGACTATACATAGATTTTGGTCACACTGTATTCTATTTTTCTATGATAAAATACTTCAGATTGATCGCCATTATTAATTTGGTTTATATTATTGTGTTCACATTACATATATTTAACTTTTGAAGGGGGTCCAAATCCGCCAACGGGGGTCCGTATTTACTAGTAGATTTGGACCCCCGGGGGTCCATATCTGCTAGGAGATTTGGACCGGGGGGTCCATATCTACTAGTGGATATGGACCGGGGGTCCAAATCTACGGGGGTCCAAATCAACTGGTACAGCGGTTTTAATACTCATGAATGGGTTAAAATCACATATGTCATGCCACAAAGCGATGCTAGCCATAACATAATTCATTAATTTGGGGCGTATGGTTAAATATTTGCTTCCTCTGAATGTTCTTCGATGAATACAGCTAAATACTTAAATAATCAGCTAAACCACAGAGTGTAAACCACAAAGAAAATATGAAATAACGAAAGTGTGGTTACGAGTCAAGCACGCACTAAATAATCGTGTATTTGTCCATGCATGGGCATCAATGGCAGCCCCATTTTTTAGTTGGAAACGGGGTAGATTACAATGCATATCTATTCCAATCATATACAATTAATAGAATTTTACTTATTCAGACTGTAAACTACGGTGTATGGCTTGTGTAAACTAGATTTTCAGTATTCGCGGCTGGAAAATAAAGTGATGAAAGATGGACAACCAAGAATTTTGTTTTTGTCATATCACAGTATAGGGATCATATCCTTGTGTACGTTCCATAACTTGATATACAAATGTTTTCTTGCAATGATTAAAGTAGCCTTGGAGGCAACGCTAATATTATGAATTAATACATTTCTCAATCAAGTGTGAAGTGGCAGAGTTTTCTTTGTCTTAAAAGTTATTACACATATATCCGCTAACACTGAAATAAGAATAATTCTCAATGAATCGAGTTAACTTTTAGCGATTAGCGTTTGCCGTTTTCTGCAGGAAACTGGTAAAAAATTTCAAAAAACAAGAGAAATATACGTTTGCTTTTTTTATAATGCTAGTAGCTATATTAGAATATAGACATTAGTTCTTATAATATTTGTCTCGAGTGTCTGTTGTAGCGCATATATAATACACCTCAACTTCCTCAACCTCGTTCGACCTAAACATTTCTTTTTTTGTTATAAGCATTATACTCTACGCTTTTCGTCATAAAAATTTCCCATATATATATATATATATATATATATATATATATATATATATATATATATATATATATATATATATATATATATATATATATATATATATATATATATATATATATATATATATATATATATATATATATATATACTGAAGACTATTTTCAAAAAAATAGTCGATGAGTTGACGTAAGGTAGAAGAGCGCTCAATACCATAAGTAGAGCGGAATTAATTCAGTCAAGG